GGGGGGGGGGGGGCGCTTAGTAGGAGCAACACAACAGCCCTCCCAACGCCCTGAGCTGGGATGTAGTTGGAATACTTACAATATCCCAGCTCCTCATTCTGAGGGAGGACAGAATCCACCGATGAAAATGGGCGATGGCCCAGCTATGCAGCCAGAAAACGTAACTTTACGGTTACAGATGCTTCGGCTTCCACCGCCTGTGCATCAGCGCCGCTGCGGAGACAGGCCTAAGGTGGAGGGGTCAGAGCTTGTTGGGGACCATGTTTTCCTACCCCCTTTTTATTAGTGCAGATTATTCATTCATTTGCTTATTTAACCCTCACCCGAGGATATGTTTTCACTGATTTTTAGTGAGAAAAGGGGGGAGAGGTTGATGAGAAACACTGATCGGTTGCCTCCCGCGTGCGCCTCTCGCGCACCCCAGGTGTGTGCCCTGAGTCGAACCCCAACATCCTGGTGTAGGGATGGGACAGTGCTCCAGCCAACTCAGTGAGCCCCCCCCCCCCNCCCCCCCCCCCCGCAAGGGCTATTTGCGCAGTTTAAAAAGCGCACCAACGGGGGTGGGAGGCAGGTGCAGGTGGGGGTAAAAAACTGAACAGAGCCCAAGCGACTCCGGGCGCGCCCGGCTCTAACCTGAGCGGAGCGTCCGTGGTGGCGGGCGGGTGTGAGGAGGAGGGGGCTGGGGGCGCTTCCCCGCCGGCTAGTGTGCGGAGGACCCTCATCATTGGGCTGCCTGGCGAGGGAGTGGGAGCGCCCTGAGGTAGGACAAGAAGTGGTACAAAGGGGAGGGAGACTCCACAGCGCAGGGACTCAAAGACGCTTTGGTAAAAGGCAAAGTGCATCTAACCAGAAGTCAAGAACACCTAACAGAGTCACCACGGCGTCCCCGCTTCTTGGAACACCCTTACCCTGCGGTCCAGCCCAGCCCACTGCCAGACAGGTGAGCGGCCGCCGCTCCGCTGGGCTGCGCGACCTGCTCCTCCATGAACTTGCCGAGAGCTGGGCGCCTCCGCTCCACAGCGCCGCGCAGCCTCCGGGGCTCCGAAGCGGAAGACGGTGAGATCGATATTCTGGGAGAGGAGGAAAATGAAGACGAGGAAGAGCACTACGTGGAGACCAAAGGGAGCCCGCAGCCCCTAGAGCCGCGGCAGCAGCCCGAGCCGCGGGGGGCGCGGCAGGGCGAGGGCGCGCGGCCCGGAGAGCGCACTGAGAGCCGCGGCTGCCCGAGCGGAACCCCCGAGTTTGGCACCAAGTTCAGGGCCTCGACGGGGTCTGCGGCGGCCTCTGGGGACGCCCCGCAGCCCGCGAAGCCCCCCTACTCCTACATCGCGCTCATCACCATGGCCATCCTGCAGAGCCCGCACAAGCGCCTCACGCTCAGCGGCATCTGCGCCTTCATCAGTGGCCGCTTCCCCTACTACCGCCGCAAGTTCCCGGCCTGGCAGAACAGCATCCGCCACAACCTCTCCCTCAACGACTGCTTCGTCAAGATCCCCCGGGAGCCCGGCCACCCGGGCAAGGGCAACTACTGGAGCCTGGATCCCGCCTCCCAGGACATGTTCGACAACGGCAGCTTCCTTCGGCGCAGAAAGCGCTTCAAG